GCGATTTGCCATTTTCGATTGGACTAAATGCTCCAAATCCAACACAAACGTAAATTTGAGAAGTCAATTTGGCAAACAGATGTTTTCAGCAAATCTTCATTAGGCCAAAATATTTGCAGGGGTAATGAAAACCGTACAGTTGGACAGGGTTAATAAGTGTAGTCTGATTCATTTATCCTGAGACTTGCTCGACCTTTTGATTGATATTTCGCAGCTGCGATAAGTGTTTGTTGATTAGTTGATTGTCTTTGTTGATTTCCGGCGGATGGTCTTTTTACATTTTGCGTGGTTAATCGTACACCCTGTCTGGTAGCAGTCAGTTGGGTCGCCTCTGAACCATCCTTTCTGTATGGCAAAATAAGCCGTACATATTCGTTGGTATTTCCTGTGGAGTCAGCAGGAGGGAGGGAGGGGGACGCTCTATCGGCTTGTAATCGCCTTTGGAATAGCCATGGTACATCAAATAGGTCTAGAGGTATTGGACTTCACGTGTTTAATCTGCCAAATTCGTGAAGTGTGACTGTACTCGCGTTACCGGTCCTCCGTCACTGAACTTCCAGCTACTAGTCTGCCCTAGTTTCTGATATGATAAATTCACGGCGCACAATGAGCCTCTTAGCTCAATGGTAGAGCGTTAGCTGCGCAAAAGCCTTCTCTGCGGTGTAGCTTCGACTCCCACCAAGGCCGCGAATTTTTCACAACCGGGTCAATCGAATTATTGGAAGCGGCCAAACTTCTAACAAACAAGGTTAGCCCAGTAGCCCATCCGGTAGATCCTAGATGATTATTTAGGAGATCCTGCCTGGCAGTCAGCTTATTGCGTCCGTTTTGGTGGATTCCATACCTGCAGTGAATCTAGGCAAGCAAATCGACCCAAATGTGATAAAATTCACGGCGCACGGTGAGCCCCGTAACTCAGTGGTAGAGCGTTGGCTGTGCAAAGGTCTTCCCTGCTGTGTGGGTTGGACTCGCACCGAGGCCGCGAAGTTCCCACAATTGAGTCAATCGAACAAATGCTCTATTTGGAAAAACAGTTGTATTTTTTAATCTCCCTCTGCACTCCAACGAGCCACTGCAAAATGATTTTA